AGCTCCCCCCAAGGACAAAAAGCCCTCCTTGCTGGAAGGCTTGTGCAGCCCTACCACAGACCAGGCTGGCTGAAGAAAGGTGATGCTGAGCAGACAGAGAATACAACATATCAGCAGATTTATACCTAGTTCACACCAGCCTCTGCTCCCCAGAATGAAATTCATGATTATCCATACAGGATAAAGGCTTTGCAGCATGTAGCATTAGTGGGGCCTAGTATCTCTTGCTGCTGCTGCTGCAGGTATTCAGTTGTGCTGCTGGAACCTGAAAAAGTCAGTAAGTGCAGCCTGGGCCTTAGTGACCCTCACCAGCCTGCTGAGACACAAGATGAAGTTCTTTTCTACCCATCACTGTTGGCTCAAAGGGCAGAGCTCTGCCACTGTGCTCAAGGGATCCAGCAGGCCACCACCAGAACCACAGGCAGGCCAGTCTTGTTCCTACATTTAATGGGGCTTGTGTAGGGTAGGGACTCTGTTTTGTAGCTCTTCAGTGAGTAGCAGATGAAATAACCCATGTTTGTGAAGTCCAGCACTCAGAGGTCATGCAGATGCTAAACCACTTGGGTGCCTCTGTGATAACAACTTTTCTCCTTGTGCAGCTGCATTCTTTGTTACAGCATTGCTTTTTAAATTTTTTTTTTTTAAATTTAAAGGATGAAGATCTGCAATTACCTGCATGGGAAAGAGATTTCCAAATGTGTATGTCTCTTTAATGTAGCAGAAACAAGCCTAGGAAGTTCCAGAGGCTGGCAGCTGAATCCAGACACGTTCACATGAGAAATAATGTACTTGGAGGCTAATTAACCATGGGAGCAATTTACTTGAGGTTGCAGTAGGTGCTCCATGACTGACAAGTATTGAATCAGGACAGGAGACATGTTTCAGGTATCTGCCAACACAAAAGTGAATGTTGTGGTCCTGGGAGATGTGGTTATAGGAGATGCTCTGTAAGAAGTCAGATTTGACCCATGGTGTCACAATACAGAGTTTGGGTACCAGTAGCATCTTGAGATGTTGCAGCCCTCCTGCTCCTTGCCCCCACAGCTCACACATGCCCTGTGAGGTGAGCTCCACCTTGTGCTAGCACTACCATTTGTGGGACAGAGCTGTGAACTGTTTGAGCCACTGAGCAATGCTGAATTACATTTTTCTCAGCTCTAGCTCAATGCAGGGCCCCACAGGTAGCAAGGGTGGCATGGGATACTGGCACAGAGCCAGCTGCAAGGGTAAGAAAATAAACAAATCACAGAGTAATGGAGTGGGTTGAATTGAAAAGGAAGTTAGAGATCATCTAGTTCCAACCCCCCTGCCATGGGCAGGACACCTTTCAGTAGACCAGGTTACCCAGGACCCCATCCAAACTGGCCTTAAACACTTCCAGGGATGGGGCGTCCACAGCTTCTTTGGTCAGCCTGCTCCTGTGCCTTATCACCCTCACAGTGAAGAGTTTCTTGCTAATCCCTGATCTAAACCTACCCCCTATCACCTAGGTGTCCATATCAAGCTCAGTGACTTTGTCTCATCCTCAAATCAGAAACTCCCTACCCAAGATTCCTATTCCTCTACACATCTCTGATGTGTTCCGCTTCCCCACCTAGAAACGCTGTCCCAGAAGATTTCAAAGACTTCTTGAGGATTTTAACATGGGCCCAGGTTTCTGATACGTGGAAACCCAGCCAGGGGAATTACATGGGCAGGCACTGGGGCTGCCACCCTTCTGAATTATGGGGCAATGCTACAGCATTTACCCCTATAGCCTGCACAGCATGGGCTGAGCTTGTCCCACTGCTCCTGGGAGGGATTTAGTGCACATGTGCTGCAGGGTCAGTTGGTGCTCACAGAGAGACCCCAGTGTGTAGGAAAATGGCAGATTTACTGTGCCAGCCCAGCCCATCTGTGCAGCACATGTGCAGGGATCTGAGCTCTGCCGGAAGCGTCTGCTTCACTGAGCCTGCACCGTGCACATGGAAATCACACAGCCCAGGAAATCCCAAGTGAAAATGTGCCACCACTGGGCATTCTGACCCTATGGATCTTCACTGGCCTCAAAACCTGTGGATGGAGCTGCACAGGTGCTATAGGAATAAAGGGATTAGTTAAATCCCTATTCCTAAAACAAGGATATTTAGATACCTGTGCATTACTGCCTCTCCACCTCCCCTAGGCTTTCATCTCTTGTTCCTGCAGTAACCCTTGCTGGCTGCAGGCTGCTCTGGGTTCCCTCTGAAGAGTAGAGACCACTGCCCAAAAGATCTGGGGTGCTCCAGGAACAACTCCAGCTCTTAAGGCAGGACTTGAAGAACTACCAGGAACTTCATCTTGCAAAAATCTCAACAAAAGGAAAAAGGAAGAAAACAGAAAGAAAGGAAGACAAGACATGCAAAAGAAAATTTGAGCTAGACATGTATGTTTTATCATAAGATTTTGATATTAACAGAATTAGCTGATTTATCTTGTTATTATAGAGTCAGAAGAGGAACACTGAGCAAGCCAGGGCTGTTCTGTCCTGGTTTTGGTTTGCACTGTGCTGCCTGTGCTCCAGAACAGTTTCTCAGGAACTTTTTATCAAGAGGCCTAGAGGCTTCCTAGAGATGTGGGAGAAGAGCCTCCTGCAGGCTGTCCTGCTTCTGCTGCTCCAGGAGGTCATAATGAGGGTTTGCTTTGCTTTTCAGTCCCTGTTCAATGACCACTGTAGATGGTGTGTCTTCAACAGGGCTATAGGCCCTATGAAAATGGCAAGAAAAACCAGAGAGCTTCTTCCTTTAAGCATAGTCTGCTCATGGTTTTGGTCTGTGAGGGGAGAGTGCCAAGCTGAGCCCAAAGAGGTGATTCAATAAAGTCCAGGACGGTTTCCGTTCAGCCAGAATGTAAAGCATTTGAGGTTAGAAAACAAGTTGGGCTAATTTTCAAATCCAATTGCAACATATTGATCTTCAAATCCAATACAGATTGTGTTCATAATTTCAGTTTAGAGTTCATTAGTTTACTCTTATAGACTTTGTGTATTACATTTTATGCAGCAGCCCCTGTACAGGGAATTTAAAACCTGGCAGCTGGGGTTTTTTACTCTTTTGGTATATTTCTGCACACTTAGTTTTATACAACACCTCCTCAGCAATATTTGCCTAATTTTCTTTTTTCCAGGTGACCAGTGTGAGTTGTGGGGAGCTCACATCTCTCCCTGTGGCTGCACTAAGGCTGGCCCAGCTGATATTCTCCCCCTGCTCATCTGGGGCGGAGCTGTCCCCAACCATCACATTGCCACCAGTCTTCCAGGCCTGACCCCCAAGAGAGATGTAAAAGCATTTCAGAAAGGCTTTTGCATCTTTTACAGAGCCTGGGAGCTGAGCTCTCAGCACTGCTGGGCAGCAGAATTGGGGATACATCAGTGCTACAGGAGTTTACAGCATGTTATTGTTTTTCCATTTCTAATTGTATCTCTTCCCTCTCTGTCTGCAGGGATTTATTATTGCTGCCTTTGCCAGCATCCTCTTATGCTCCACAGGGTCCAGCTGCCCCTTTGTCCCAGTCTATAATTGACTGTGGTCATTAATTTAAAGTCAGAATGATCATTTCCGAGCTATATTTAGCCTGAAGCTTACTGCTCTTGTTTCAGACCTGATTAGAGGCTCATGTGCCAGAAAGCTGCTGCTCGTCCCTGCCATGACAAATAGTCTGATGGTCCCTCCTCACAAACCTTCCCCTTCCCTACCCTTGGTCGTGGGGCTCTCCTTGGGGCCGCAGGACCCAGCACCACTCAGCCCTGCGTGGAGCTGGGACAGCTGTGACATTGCTGCTGCGTTCCTGGAATCCTTGTGCATCAAAAGCAGCCCAAGGAAATACAGCACTGTTTCCTTTCTCAGCATATTCATGAGCTCAGGCAAATGTCTCCTGTCATGTGTGTGCACTACCACTTCCAAAATGCATCAGCCAGGCAGTGCACGTTGCACTCCTGCACAGACAACGTGCCTGTCCACCCAGAGTGTGCCTTTATGTGTTTCCATATCAATACCCTAAACATAAAAACGTAAGAGCTGCTTGGGCTTCCTCGTGGGAGCTGCAGTTTTCCAAGGTGCTGTTTGGATTGCTGGGCTGGGGAACCAGGGAGAGACCCCTGCAGTTCCCAGCTCCTCCTGTGGTGGTTGCACATGGTGCCAGGGTTAGGGATTGCTTTGGTTTTGGGACAGGCAGAGTGAGCAGGTGCACCTGTGTAGCCTCAAGTCTGACTCAAACAGGAGTCTGTCTGGAACAGGTATATTCTTAGGTCAGAAGTCACCAGGAGAATAATACCCATATATCACTGACTTTACCCTTGTCCATGGAAGTGCTGTGGTTAGGCACAGGAATGGAATAAACCAGAAGAGGTTTGACCCAGGTCAGAATCCCACAGTTTGCTAATAGCCAATGCCAAAGAAAGAGTCAAAAAAAGGAAAGCACTTAGCAGTATTAGTCCAGCTTTTCCTCCCTTCCTCAGGAGCTTCCTGAGCAGGAGGTGGCATTTTTGCACCTAATAGCTTTGCTGGGTTTTTTTTTACATTTTATTCCATTTTCTAGTCCTTGCTTGAATTCAGGCAAAGAGTTTCTCAGATTAAATACATATTGGGGGCTAAGAAGTATATCCTTTTAAGATGGACATTTAAAACATGTTATTTAATAGCTACTGAGAGTTGTTAAAGTCACAGAACTGAATATATACCTCAAGACCTTGTTCCTGAAATGTTGTTGTGTTTCCAAAGCGCTCTCTACCTGCTCTAAAATGATGCCCAGAGCTCTGCTGCCAGTTGGGTTTCACTTCATTGTTCTCAGCTGTGCTTGCTACGAGCATTTGGATTAAGTAGAAGTTATTCCTTCTATTTAAGGACACAGAGGCTTCATTAGAAAGTATTTGTGGGTACAATGGCCACATTTGTTATCTCAGAACGTAGGATGAGCATTGGTTGTTTAGGATTTCCCCTGTGACAGCAGTGGGCTTATCTGGTTTCTTCCTCTGTTTCCCATAGGTTCATGAAAGTGGCCGGCGGCACGGTGGATGCTGTTACCTGGCAACAGTAGGTATTCACCATTCCTTCTATTTTCCAACACTCAGTGCAGTGACCACAGATGCTGGGAACAGAGCTGATGTGCTCTCTGGGTGTCAAAGGGGCAGATGTGCTACAGCCACCTCCTCTGTCCTGCTGAATTTAAACAGGTGATGGAAGCTCTGCCCTTCTTGCTCGAGCCTCTCAAACAATTACAGGAGTGGATGTAATAACCTTTACCTCTGCAACTGAGACACAGGACAAAAATGCCACTGCCTGCATGCCTGGCCTGGCAGACTGCTGGAAACAGAGCCCTGAGCTGGACTGCTGAGTGCCCAGGGGCAGCTGGGAGAACAGCCAGCTCTGGGGGTAGCCTGGGTAGGGACAAGGAGGCAACAGCCACAGATGTGACACATGTATGGGACTATCTGAAAGCCCTTTCCTTTTCACCCCAATCACTGCCTCCTCATGCCCACTGGCCTGAATCTAAACTGGTTCATCCAGACAAGGGAGAGGCATCTTAGTCCAGTGCTAAACACATAATGCCCCAGCCCCCACTCTGCTTTGTAAGGCTGTCCACAGACACACTGCTGTGTCCTACATGCAGGTGGAGCCCCAGGAACAGATATCAGTTAAAAGGGGATGAACATCCAACATTCATGGCCCAGCTGAGGGTGAGAGAGATGCTGTTACCTGTTTTTCCCCCTGGTCCTAAAAATGCTGCATTTCAAAAAAGAAAAGGAAGCTCTGAGCTGTAGCACTAAGTGTTACAAGCACCCTGTGGAGAGAGAGGTTTTCTTATTTGAGGGAAAATCCAAAAACATCTATTCCTTCCTCCTACTTCCACCTGCCCCAGTTTGCATGCTGTGGCCAGAGGTAGGCTCCCCAGCAGGCTGTGGCTCTCTGCACTGGGAGTGCAAACACCAGTGCAAAGGTGAGGCGTTGTACAAGCACAGCAGCGACCACCAAAATTGAGAGCAAGAGGGTTGGTGGGACCCTCCCCTACCATAGAAAGGACACATTTCACAGACAAGGATTCACTGGAGGAAAAAAACTATGGTGAGACCATTCTGTTCTCAGAAAAAGTGGATTTGTTGTCATGTCTGGTTGTACTTCCCATGCAGAATACAGGCCTGAGCATGGGAGCCAGGATCTGAGGTCCAAGGTGTGCTTGAGTGCAGTGCCCACAGGTCTTGTTCCCAAGCTGATTCTTTACCATGACCCTTCATGAGGTGCTCGGGCTGCTTTGCTGCAGTGCAGCACTCCTTAAATGGGCTTAAATCCATCACTTGTAAAGGCCCTTTGGACACCTGCTCTTAAGCAGAGCTCAGTGGGGTTTAACATGCAAAGCTTTCCTGCAAGCACAACCATGGTCTCTGTTAACCTTGGAGGCTTCTGCAGAAGCAACTGTTGGCATCTTAGAAGGGTTTATAACACCAGACATGACCAGCAACCTGGAAGTCCCCTTCCTGGAGCTTGGCTGGTCTCAGTGTGCTTGCCTGGGTGTTTAGCTCCTCGGGTTTTCCTGCCAGGCAGCAGCAGCTTGCTGCAAGGGGACAGTGGGGTAGCAGAGCAATTGGAGCAGGATTTGTGTTGCTTACAGGCTCATGCTGTGCAATGATGATCTATGTCTCATCTGGGAATTTGCTTTTCATGATTACACGATGTGCTGATCGCATTTACTTAGTCCAGGAATTTGCTTTCTGTAACAGGGCTTGATGGCTGGGCCAAGCCCTTGGATGAGTTGAAGGAACAATCTTCCAGGCTTCAGATGTGGAGTTTCATCTGGTGTGCAGGGAATCTGCCTGCATGTCTGCTTTGAAACAGTTTCTTATTCAGGGTCAGCCTGAAGTGTTTGTCAGGTCCGGTGCTGAAGCAGCAGCTTGTGGCTGGGAGGGCTCCCCACAAGGGTCAGCAGAGCTGAGCTGCTGCCTGCTGACCCATTTTCACTGCACTGCTCCTGCCTCTCCCCCAGCCAGGGTTTGCAGCTCTGGAGATAGCACTCCTATGTGATTGTGAGGACTGGCAATGGCCACAGCTCTGAGCTGGGCTTCTGTACTGTTTATGAATAAATGTCAAAACAGTGTCTCATCCCTCTGCTCCAAACAGCAAAACAAAACAAAACAAGTTCCTTTGTATCCAAGAAGAAAATTATTAGCAGGAAACTAAACTGCTGTCTAATTTCAAGTATGAGTATTTTGGTTCCAAACCCTAAGGTTCTCCTGGGATATTGGTTATAAATTTGTCAAATCTGTTATTCCTTTGAAAAGTCTGTGCTCAATCCAGAAGGGGAATTGAGAAGGGAATATATTGCAAGGAGCCTTAGTCTCTGTGTGAAAACAGAATATATCTGAAATATAACTGATAGAAAAGTGACACTGGGTAGAAATAAACAGCTCACCAGTGACCCTCACTTACTCAACTGAGTATGGTTTCACTAACATGCACAACATCACTCGGCATGTGTGCCTCTCTCTTCAGAAGTAAAGTGTTCCTGGAGTGGGATGAATGGCTTCAAAGTGCTCAGGGAATTCCCTCTAAAGGAGGATATGACAAGTGGCTCCAAGAGATTTGGCATTTCCCTGGTGATTTAGATTGTTATGTTTGGTTATGAGTGAACACAGACCCATCAGCCTTTGGATGTGGGTTCCCACTGCTCAGAATCCTCCCCACAGCCATCTCTTTGCTCTGCACTGGTGTCCTCACATATGGGGAAGATTCACTGTCTGCTTAAACCTGCAGCTGTGCCCAGTTCCATCCCCCAACACACTCTCTCAGTCTGCACAACTGCTTCTCCATTCAAAGTCTTTCACACTTCAGCTCCAAGTTTGTCATGTTTAATGGGCAAATCCTCATACTATGCTGCCTCTGAAACACAAACCCCTATTACTTATGGGGAAAGTAAACATTTACATCCTCAAAACCAGACAACATCTGTCCCTGTGGCTTCTTGGAGAATGCCACCTTCTCTTCCAAGATACAAAGTCATTTGTCCGTGGTAAATCAGAGGTGCCAGACACACAGGCATGTGAGAGATGTTGCTTAAAATGCTTTTGCCTGGCTTGGTTGGGTGACATCTCTTCTGGCCTAGTCATGTTGAGCTTGCAGGGGACAATGCTCACGGGCAGTAGCACAGGGCAGATTTTCCAAAGGTGCCAGGAGAGAGTTGCCCAGCATGGGCACACCCACCAGTGTATGTACCCAGGGTGTATATTTGGGCCCACATCAGCTTCAGAGTGCTCAGAGTGCTGTGTCTTCACAGGCTGTGCCTGGAGGAAGGGGCTGCAGAAAGGAGTCTCTGACCCACTTTTTACCTGTGTGGTGGTTTTAAAGTCAAACCCACTACAGTGTGTAAATAAACCTGGTCAGGGCACAGCTTTGTCCACTGGCTTGCAGTTCTCTTCACTGTCTGATGGAAGGAACAGCTCCTGGCAGCACCATGGCCCTGGCCACCAGCACATTTCCAAGCAATGCCAGGCCAAGGCTGGGGACATGGCACAGACCAGGGATGGCTCCCGGTGGTGAGATGGGCAAATGCATCTTGTCTGGGGGTAGGGAAAGGCGTGGGTGTGAGCTGCGCCTTTGGGGACAGAGAACAGCCCCCAGTCACTCTTCATCAAAGCATTTCTTAGTTGACTGGAGGTGGCAGCACCTCTCATCTGTGCCTGCAGGTGTTTGGAAGGAGCAGGTCTCATCCTGCCTCTCTTCTCCATGAGAAGCAGTGGGGCTGCCCCACGTCCTGCGCTGCAGATCCCTCTCCTCGGGAAGATGCCCAGGGCCACCTCTCAGCAGGGGTGACTCAGTTTCTCAGCTGCAGTGGCAGCAGGGTGTCATGCTGACCGTAAGGATCTGCCTGCTCGCTGTCCCTGGCAGGCGGGTGCCCTAATTCCAAGCAATCTCTCCCTGTAGCAGCAGGCAACAAAGTAGATCCGGAAATTCCTGAGCTTTGGGAAGTGGGCTTTAATGTAATTAACTGCAACAGAAAAAGAGGTCAGATAATAGGGGCAAAGGTTTCTCTTTAAAATGAAGGAGGATGTAAGTGAAACCAGCTGCCCAGGAGTCAGTGCACTGCCTTCATTAAACATGGTACAATGCTTATGGTCCCATGCAGCAAATCATGGATCTTGCCAGAAAACAATTTTAAATGCAACACAAGACCTGGAGCTGAGAGGACAGAGATATGTGGCCAGCCCTCGAGTGCCCAAGTGCTCTGGTGCCTGGCACTGTCCCTCTGTGGGAGGCAGTGGGAGCTGTGTGCAGCCTGGCCTTGCAGCCTGCTCAAGAACAAGGGCATTTCTGACTGGCAGCTGTGTTCAGCCCTGCCTCACTAATGCTCTCAGCTCATCTTTGTCCCATGCTACAGATCCATCAAAGGACAGAAGTCAGGAATTGGGGTGGTTCATTTCCTAGCACTGGCATAAATCCTTGCCCAGCCCTTGGCTGAGTCCTTCCCCTGCACCATACTCTGGTTTGGCCATCTCCAGAGCAGCCCAGTCCCACCTTCCTTTGCTGATCTCATCCTGCTTTCTGTGGCACAGCCACATGATGGATTTAGAAAAGGCAGAGTAAGCAGAGCGGGGAAGAATTTGTCTCAGCTTTGTACAGTAGGCATTCAAATATAATAGGACACCCAAAAGTAGATGTATATGGCCTTTCCTTCAAGATGTATGCCTCATCTGGGATTTAGCTGCTAGATCCCTCTTTTTCTTGGCTGACTCTTCTCACGTTCTTGCAGATCGCCTGTTCATAGAGATAGTGGCATCAAATAGGGGGACACAATGGCCTAGCTCTGTATATAATTGGCTGTATCTATTTCCTGAATTACAAGAAACAGCCTGGTCAGTGTTCATGGTGTGCATGCTGATATCTCCTGGGCTTCAGGACCACTGCTGCTGCTGTGCCATACTCAGAGCCCAGTGAAAGAACTGTCAGCCTGTGTTGGAGACAAACAGCTTGTCCAGGAGCTAAGTGTGCTCTGCCTCTGCAGAGTCGGGGCTGACAGAGACCCCTGCCCAGCTGGGGAGGGTCTGTCCATTCATCTCCTTGCTGGACTTAGGAGAGCAGGATGTGAGTGCCACAGACCCCGGGGCTGGCCTGGGGAGGTATTTGTCAGTGCTGGATATCTCTGCAGCTGCTGCTGGCTTTTTTGGAGGTTGAAGAGTTGTGACTGTTTTAGGATTTTTTAAGTCAAGTGCACTGAGTCATTGTAAATATCAGCAAAGCTGCAGCCTTTACTCCAAGGAATAATCCACGCCTAATGAGCTCTTCTCTTGCTTTAAAGGCTGACAGTTGTTTGTATTTTGTGGATTTCTATACTGCCTATACTGGCAGTTAAAGTTACCAAAAGGAAGTTCCCTTAACTCATTGAGATGAAACTGGAAACCCATTTTTGAGTAGCCAGGTATCAGCACAGACCTCAGTTCCCCTCTATTCCTCACCAGCCTTGTACAACTTGGTGCCATTTTCCCTTTTCCCTAGTCTGAGGATGAAACTGCCTGTTGGCAACTGAGGACTTCCCAGGCAGATTTGCAAGAGATCCTTGCCCATTTTACTGAAGCCTGTAATTGTCTTCATGCTCTGTTTACACACCCAAAGCTGAAGCAGTCCCCTCTTCAACTGATACTTTATTTCTGCCCTTCATGACTCTGCCTGTCTCTATTTCTTTGGGTTGTTAATGAAGGTGGCAAAAAATAAATGTTACATGGCAGGTATTCCAGAGTATTTCTCTTCCCTGTCTGGTCTGGGCTGTGCTGAGCACAGCAGCACCTCCCCAGGTGATTTCTGGGGGGCAGACCCTCCTCTGGGTCTGCTGCTGGTCCTCTCCCCTTGGCAGTGGAGCTGCATGTCAGAGCACACCTTGTGCTTGAATGAGGTGATGAGGAGGTGCAAGCTTGTCTTTGCTCTCCCAGGGGTTTATCCTGGGCTCTGGGACCATATTGGCCAAGGAGCTAAACCCTCCAGAAAACCTGATACCTTGGAGAGGTCATACATAGACTGAGGTCTGTCTAACTCCATCTTTTCCCTGTGAATAGAACCCTTTTTTATGTCTTTCAGCCAGTTTTCAGCCCAGGTGATGGGGTTTTTAGTCCACAGCAGTCTGAAAAAGTAATTTCTGCTCGGTTTTTAAGTGCAGTGCTAAACTCCAAACATCTGCCATCCCCAGAGAACACTGCTTTGTAATTTTGTCTTAAAAAGTAATCTGTATAAACCCCACCACTGCCTGCTGCTCACAGATCTGCTCTCCCCCCCAGCAGCCAGTGGTTCTATAGTGTGTAAGTGAACGGAATGATTTTGAACACTTTCTAAATTCTCCCTGGAGATTATCTCTGCCCTTAGCACCTTCCAGTCACCATGGACATAGAGAAATGCCTCGTGCCTCCTTACCCAGTCACACAATGTTGGGGTGTGCCTGGCACGTTCCCATGCTTTGCTGGGGACACAGCTGGGACTGCACGCCTGCGGGAGGGCTGACAGAGGAGATTCTTCTCCTTGAATGCATTTGCAAGTGGAGCCTGTAATAGAATTCTGCTCTGGGACAGTCAGGGACTTGGAGCAGTGAGACACAAAAATCCTCTCCAAGCACTCATGCATGTTGCACATGTGCCAGGTGCTCTGTCTGAGGCTGAGTTAGCCCACGGTGTCCTTTGGGGATGCTCCTGCATTCCAGCACCCAAGTGAAGCAGCCACTACAACTGCTACAGCTGCTCACTGCTGCAGATGAGATGCATGCCATGGAGAAAGCAGCCCTGGAAAGGTGAATCCACCTTTCTTCAGAGCCCTGGTTTTTTTTTGTTATGCATCCTGGCACCCACAGCTGCACCAAGGTCTGCAGGGAGAGAGAAGGGTCTGTGTAACTCTGGTGAAATCCGAGTGGATGTAGATCCACTGAGGGATGGGAGGTAATGACTGAGCCCCACCAGCTCCAGCCAGAACTGCTGCTGTTCCTGGGAACCCCCATCCCCCCAGTGTGGCTCTCACATACTCTGGGGCTTACTGGGGTGAGTAGTTGATACACAATGCAGGTTTGGGAGGAGAAGGTTCATAAAGTTTCTCTTGCAAAAGCTATTTATCAGAAAGAGAGCTGGCCCAGGGGTATGCCAGCACATGCTGCAGCAAGAATCCTGTTCCCTGCAAGGCTGGCAGGAGCCTCTGGGAGATGTGCAAGGCCTGCCATTTCTCTTTGCAAGGAGGAGACATGACAGCCCAAGACTCTTCCTCAGGAGGAGCAGGTTGGAATTACCTCTTGATACAGGGTATGTGCAGTCAGGACAGAATGCTTCACCTTATGTCCCAGAGCCAGGAGCCAGCAGTGAGACATTTCAGAGCCTTCCTCTCACACTTAGAGACAGATGATTCACATCGTTATGGGCAGCACTGTAGCTGTACTTCATCAAATCAAGCACATGGAGAGCAGGAATCAGCCTCCGGCATGGGAAACACTCCCTGGCATTCGTAGGCCAGAAGGTATTTCTGTGAGAGCAGGACTTCCTCTGCTGGTAACAGCCACAACATCTCTTGACAGGGGGATTCAGCTGTGGATTTTCCTGGAAGGGCAAGCAAGGAAGGTATAGGTTGTGCAAGAGTGCTGCAAAGCCTTTGCAGGTGGCATTTTGCTCCCAGCCTTTAGAATGCTACCCCCAGAGTTTCATCAGCAACATTTAAGAAATTGCAAAACTTCCCATGGTTCCTGAAGTGCAGGATGCTCAGTGTTTAGGGTGTGTCCACCTTACATCCTGTTCTGGAGACTGAAGCATCTGCCAGACAGGTATGGCCAGAGGGCCAGGACAGGACAGGGTGCAAGCAGGGACTCCCCCAGAGCAAAAAATGCATCTTGGTATGGGACAGCAGCAGAGCAGGAGGATGTGCTTTGGGGCAGAGATACTTCCAGCTGTCTGACCTTGTCTTCTTATTTTCCTTCCAGTTACTACATTGATGGTCGAGTGGCCAAAGTGACAGACTTCCTGAAAACACGGCTGCTAGACACACTGTCAGACCAGATCAGGAAAATCCAGAAGGTGAGCAAGTGCAAAGGGACACCGTGGCAGCAGTGCCTGGCTGTGGCACAGCCGGTGGCCGGGGCTCAGCACCGACAGCTCCCTGGAGCTGGTGTGGGGCAGGGAGGGACAGAGTGGGCCCTGTGCTCCCAGTGCAAGTGCAGCCAGCCCTCATTCGGGGCAGGGCTGAAACACCAGGCACACAAAGCCTGGCCCCAGCGTGGGGTGTGTGCTGGGTTTTGAGGGAAGTGGCCGCAGGCTGCAGCATGCCATGGGCTGTGCAGGTGTGCTGGGACACAGGGCAGGAGAAAACGCCATGCAAGGCCCTGCTAAGGCAGCTGACTGGCTTGAGGCTCCCATCTGCCTGTTCTTGAAGGGAGCGGCATGCAGTGAGGGTGAAACTGAACTTGCTCCCCAGAAGGAGCAGCCAGGCGGTACGGAACCTTCCTGAGCACAGCCAGTGCCATGTCTGCTCAGGAGGGGGCTCCTACCGCCACACCTTGCCCCACTTGCTCACACTGTGCCTGCAAATGCTGCTTGCAAAGTAGTGACAGCTGCATTCCAGAGTGATTCTCACAGGTGGAGAGTTGTGACCACTCTGAACTAGTGTCCTTTCTCCCTGATTATCATGTTTTGACTGTGTCAGAAAACCCAGCTGTTGTTGGCCTGTGGTATCAGAGTCCATGGCCTGGCTCATGAGTGCTCCTTTCCTCAGTGTCCAGGGACCCAGCTCGCATCTCTAACAATGGGATACATGGCAGGGGCTTTGGCTGATAGAGGGGCCAGGGCTGAGACTGACACACTCAGCTGTCAGTTCTGGAAGAAATAAGGAACACCTAGTGAGTAAAAAAGGCCTTAGGGACTAGAGGAGATGTCCACTCATCTGTCTTGTCTAGGTTTTCAAATCTTACCACTTACCACAATGTCTCACTTGTAATTCCTGCAGGGAGAAACCATAGAATGAGTAAACAACTCAAAGAGGCCCTGGGAAAGGGGATGAGAGGGTCAGTACAGCAAAGCTGGGGGAGAGAAGCTCTTTGCTGAGCCCTCTGGCACAAGCTGGGAGTCATCCATGTGTGTGGATGATACTCCTGTGGGGGAGGCATGGCACAGTGGCCAGTGGAATCACTATGGGGCAAGCAAGAGACACCAGCTGACCCAGCCCCCATGGCAATAATGCCCTGCCAAAAGTGGTGATGTATCCCACCTCTGCTGTGGGTTGGAACCTGCTGGGAATGGAGTGGGGCTCCATCCATTCCCAGACCAGAAGCAGCCGGGAGCTGCCCTTGGTGCAGTTTAGGGGAACCCTCACACCCATGGGCCAGAATTTGGTCTGCACAGGGGAGGGCTGGGGAAGGCTCTCCTGGGAATGCCAGTGTGGCTGAGCAAAAGCACAGCACTGGGTGCTAATAGCCTCCAGCTTGGCTCTGAGTCCGTGCATCCTGCCGGGGCTGATTAGAGCAGCTGGACTTGTCCACTTCCCTGTTTTATTGCTTCCTCTCCGACCGGGGAAGGTGGCGGGCTTAGATAATTACAGGCAGGATGCCAGCACCTCTGGGGCTTCAGTCAGGGCTGTCGACTCTCACAGCCTGTGAGTGGGAGGCAGCCCAGAGCTGGCGTATTTAACATCTTTGAGGGATCCCAGTCCATCCAGCACATTCCAGCGCTCCTCACTAATGGGGCAGGATCCATCAGGCTGCTCAGAGCATTCCTGGGGCCGCTGGGTTTGCAGACATCTGGTCTTAGAAGCTTGTCACCCAGCCTGGAAAAGTCGAATTGCAGGAGAGGGGACAGGGTGTGGTGCCAAAGGTTGCTCGGGCTGGGAGAGGGCAGCTCTGGCCAGCTGAGCATCTCACAGGTGTCTGCATTGCCGGCTGAAGCCTGGTAAGGGGTGAGCTGGCATGCTCAGACCTGCATGTCCCACATGTGCCATGGACCCCTCTGGTGGCAAAGCAGCCCCTGCTCAGCTGTGGGACTGACTGTCTGTGACTGGAGGAATCCCACTGCTTTCTCCTTGAGTGCCTGCTCACCTTTAATCCATGTGGCCCAGTACTGCCACACTGCAGTGCCACTGGGGCTTGGGGGCTACCTGTGGCTGGCAGCCACCGTGAAAGGGGTATGGCGAGCTGAGGTGACATGAGAGGACAGTCTGTGGGACAGAGTGCATGGGGAGACCACAGGGGAAGAGCAGGATCCGGGACTGGGAACATGAGAGTACGTTTGGGAGCAGCTCCAGAAGATGCAAGTAGACATGTTGGCAGTGGAAGGAAAGAGTGAGGAATAGTGTGCCACCACCCAGCCAAGGTAAAGACACAGAGTGACGTGCCCTGACCGGGCAGGCACTGACTGTCCAGCAGCACCATCACCAAAGCTCTCCACAAGTCTTCCCATGAGACAGGAGATGTATGCTTTGGCTTTAAATCACAGGTTCACCAGAGTAATTTTGGTTGCTTGTGTCTCTCACGCAGGTAGTGAACACGTACACACCAGGGAAGAAGATCTGGCTGGAAGGTGTTGGCATGACCTCAGCTGGAGGCATGAACAACCTCTCTGATTCGTACGCAGCCGGGTTCCTGTGAGTGACACTGGCTGGCCAGCCCCAGGGCACTGCCACCCCCATGGGCTCTGCAGGCTGAGGTGCTGCAAAGGCACTGCAGCTGGAAGAGGGCAAGCTCTAGGCCCAGAGACCCCCTCAGTACACCCTGGCAGCCTGAGTATTGTTAATTTCTCCATTTCATACCTATTACCCCTCCTCAGCTCTGCTTTCCATTTTCTCTCCTTTGAAGTTACAACCATTCCTGGCTCCTGGAGCTTGTCCACTGGCACAGCCCCATGGCCTGGACATCCGCTGCAAAGCCCCATTTTTAGATCTTCAGAGCTGGCTGCGATCATGAACGATGGAGGAAGATTATCTAAGCTTTGCAGGGAAGCACAGGGACATGCCTGGGCTATCAGGGCTGTGGCAGGCTGTGAGAATTGAAGATCTTGCCCAGGGAGTGTGAGAAGCCAGGCCAGTGCAAAGGTCTGGTCTGCCCTGCTCAGACAGTGGGTGCAGAGTGCTGGCAGGCTGGGCGAGCACCCCAGGCTCCGGGCAGAGGGCTGAGATATTGGGGTGCCCTCAAACCTCAATACACAGGGGCTCAATACACACACAGGGGCTCAGGCACAGGTTTGGGATGTGCAAGCTGGGCAAAGCTGGGGCAGGGGAAGAGACATGCAGACTTGCTGGGGCAGGGATAGTGGGAACCAGTTAATGGCCAGCTGATAAAACCATCAAGAGGCTTCAGCTCAAGTGCTGGAGCAGGAACCGAGTCGTGTGCATGAGAGCAGCTGTGCCACTGGAACCAGGCAGTCCCTCCGTAGTGTTCCCCCCATGGTGCCCCCCTGCCCCTCCTTGGTGCCCTGGCTCTGTTCCCTCTGTCCCCAGGTGGCTGAACACGCTGGGCTTGCTGGCCAGCCAGGGCATCGACGTGGTGGTGCGCCATTCCTTCCTCGACCACGGCCACAACCACTTGGTGGACCAGAACTTCAACCCCTTGCCGGTAGGTCTGCCCAGGGATGTCATGCTGGTGCTGGCTTCTCCCTGCATGTCTGGGGGGATTCTCTCCTTGCGGCCTCTCTGAACTCTGCCGGAAAATGAATTTTCCAGATCTGTTCCTGACAGTGTTAATAGGAGATGTGGGTTCATGTCAAGTGTGACATGTAGGAGGCAGATGGGAGAGCGATACCTCTGTGGCTGAAATGTCAGATGATGCCCCAGGGCTGCAGCACAGGAGGGAGGCTGGTACCACTGAGGGGCACCAGGGCAGGCTGGCGAGTTGGAGGGATGGATGGGGTGGGCAGCTGGATCACTCATGTTGAGCTGGTCCAAGGGAAGCCAGGCTGGAGCTTCAGCACCTGATTTCAGACTTCCAGAAACCAAGGTGAAAGCTTCACAGTGAGCAGTGGATCTCAGCAGTGCCCCACAACATCCCTCATCTTCAGAAACACCTGGGCAGAGGGGGAACTCCCAGAACACATGGCGTTGATAAGGAAACCATATGAAAAATCCTGTTAAAAGTAGCAGGTTTCCTTTTCCTCTGGGTTTAGTAAATGTACTGCCTTGCAAGCAGAGAGCCTGGCAGAGCAGCTGGGTGCTCTGCATTTCTTCTAGAAGGGATTTATTGGTCCATGACCCAGCAGACGCCGCCAGCAGGCTGGGGATCCCTGTTGGAAATGTGCACAGCCCTGACACTGTGAGCTGTGCTGGGATCTCAGGGGTGGCTACAGGGAAGCAAAATCTGAGGGAATTGCAGCTCAGTCAGCTCTGCCTGCTCAGGCAATGAAAACAGCATCCCTGAGCACCAGACTGGCTCCAGAGAGCAAACCAGTGAGCAGGAGAGCATGGTCTACTGCCTGTGCTGCTCTGGGTATCTCCTGGAGCACCTTGGTCTGCTCCCACATGCAACCTTCCAGCTGCCAGCTCTGGGGGCCCAGCCTGGGGGGCTTTGAGCTTTGTTTGGGATGAACCTGAGCTCACAGCTCAATGGATTTCTCCTGAAGAGCCGATTTCCCTGACTAAGCCACATCACCCCCTTTCCCAGGGCTTCGGGGCCCCAGATTGCTCCTGGCTGGATGGGTGCAGGCCAGCTCCTGCCTGCTCGGTGCCATGGGTAGCAGCTGGCTGTGGCAGCTCTCCTGGCACAGCAGCTCAGAGGGTGGCCCATGGCCAGCTCCGCTGGCACAGTGGGGCAGCAGCCCCAGAGTGGCCGGAGAAGGAGTGCAGTTCAGAAAGGGATTAAAGCCAGGGAAGGAGTTAGAAGAATAAACCCCAGGCTGTTAAACACAATGGAAGTCTTTAACTTGGATTTTGCTGGTGTTTTAAAGATAAGTCTCCCAATAAGTGAGATGCCGATTACTGTCATGGTTGTTTCCTCACTCTCCCATGTTCTTCAGCACCGATCCCACATCCATCACTGTGCTCCTGCACAAACTCCGGCAGGTACTTCCACAACCCCTTTCCCTCCACTCCTGTGCTATGAAAGAGCCCCAGACAGGTGAAAACCGCCGAAGGGTTTAAAAAAGCTGCAAACACCTCAAAGCCCAGCGAGGCCGGGCGGTGACCCGCTCCGCGGGGCGGCGGCTGCTCCTTTCCCGTGGGAGCTGTCAGGAGACAAAAGCCGCCGGCGCTGTGAAACACAATCTGCCATTCGCTGCCATCACAGGGAGGTCTCCGCAGCCGGCTGGGCGTGAGGCAGCTCCGGCTGCCTGCTGAGGGAAGGGCTGCACCGCCGGGCCATCATCCCGGCTCCAGCTGGCAGCTCTCAGCGAGCCGGGAGCCAGCCCTGGGCTCCCCACAGCAGCCTTTGCACCTCTTCTCCTCCCTGCCCCTGCTGGTGCCTGCTTGTCCGATAAGGGGATGGTCTCAGGTGGCAGCAGTGTGGCCAACAGGCACTGATGTTTCGCAGTGAAATTAGGAAGGTGCTCACATCTCTGCTGGGCCTCCCATACACAGCTGACTCGTGAGCTAAGTGGCATCTTGTGACTTTCGGAACAAATTGCCACAGACATGGTCCTTGTGTGCCCCTCCAGGTCCTTCACCCATGGAAGGGCAGCTTGAGTGCCCATCCTGGTTGCCAGAATTGCCTGTCCATTCTCCCTTTGAGCTCAAGTGTTTTACTGCCCTGTTATTTTTGAGATAACATTTTCATGTATGGTTGGAGTGCTTTTTCTTCCTGAGTGATTGGAGCAGTCAGCTGTATAATAGTCAGAGAAGCCCTTCAAATAAAGCCTTTTGCAGGTACATCAGTCTGCCTGCCTGCACTTAAACCTGTACACGTGTGGGAGTAAGGAGTGGAGGGAAGGAGGGCAGGAGCAGCACTAATATTTGCTCGTCACAGGGCAGCGCCTTTGAAATGCTGATCCGGCATATAGTACCTCTAGGATCATTTCAGGCATGCAACGTACATACTCTATCTCTCTTTCCTTAATATCTCTCTGAAACAGTCCAGAGGGAAGCAATACATTTATTTCACCCCAGGCAGACGTGAGATTTCTCTTCAGATTCTTACAGAATGTTAAAGACGTTTTTCAGTGCTCTTCCACATGGTAGTCATCTCTCTTTTATCCATACTTGGTATTGATTTCTGCTCCTTTAATGTGCAATGCCGTAAGGTTATACCTATGAAGAGAAAAAATTTGGGCATATTTCTAGGCAGGGCTTGAGGAGCACAAACCCCATGGAAACACCAAAGCTGAAAACTAGAATTCCATTTCCTGTGGCTCCTCATGTACCTTCCTCTAAGGACTATGGGCGGTGAGATACTGAGTTTGGTAGACACTTAAAGTTCTTTTCTGCATATAAAATTCATATGCAGGACAAGAAAGTCCCGGAGGGATCAAGGGTGAATTGGCAGCAGGGGCTGCCTACTCAGCTGTGGTGGTAGAAGACAATGTGATATTGCCTCTGAATTGATGGCGTCCTTGAGAAAGCATCACAGCAGTGCGAAGGTCTGTGCCCAGTGGTGCTGTGATCAGATGCTTGGATGCTGCGGGTGATTTTTCACCTCCTTGGCTTTGCCCAAAGCCGCTGGGGAGAACTCAGTGGGAAAGAACATCACTGTCTGTCCTGGAGGAGGGAGGACCCTGGGCTCATATTAGGTCTGTGTTACCTGTCCTGAGCACCTCTGCATTAGGGAACGGGTTGGGCCTCACAGTTTCTGGGTCCAAGGAGGCAAGGGCCCCTCCGGTGAGGTGCCAGCAGCGGGAGGGGTCCCCCGGCAATGCTCCTGCCTGCTGCACATACACACTCCCCGGTGCGCTCACAGCTGAGCTGGCCTGGCAGGAGCCGCTGCTAACTGCAGCTGAAGGTCCCGGCCCTGCACCCGAGGGGATCCTCCCCCGGCCAGGGCAGCGGGGGCTGGCTCCTCACCCACCTGTGCCCATGCCCACCCTGGGGCCCTGCTGCTGCAGCCACCCATCGGTGCATCCCGCTGTCACCGCGCTGTGCACCAGCCGGCCCAGCACCACTGCAGCACTGCGGCTGCTGCTCCCCGCGGACCCTGCCTCCAGCTCACTGTCTGGCAGAGGGTGTCAGGGCGCACTGCAGCGTGCCCTGCAGGCAGAGGCACGGTCCCAAGTCCGGGAGTGACAAAGGGTGGGGAGAGGGAGCAGGTTCAATGGAGCTTGCACACACACATGGAAGTTGTTCCTGATGACCATAAATCTGCTGCGCGGGCATCTGGCACCCCAGTCTGCCCGGCACGCTAGAGCACTGACTCTGGTGGGAGCGATGCCTGCAGACAGGGAAGGGGTGGGAGAGGCAAGGATTGGCAGGAACTGTTGTTAGAGGATATTTGCTCTGGCCACAGATGGGAGAGATGAAATCCCAGGCAGTTCAGGTGTGCATGGGGGAAAAGCTTTCCCGTGAGATGTCCAGCTAAAGCATGGTCTGCTGAAGGGCAGTGTGGAAATGGTGCCCTGTGGAAGTCTTCCAGCGAGCCTTGGCACAGCTGCCTGGCACAGGTTTGAGCAGAGCATCTACTCCACCACCTTGTCCTTTCTGTCATGTCTCAAGGACTGAAGCATTGTCTGCTTTCTGCACCCTCCCTCCTTCCAGGAGTTCCAGGTTTGCTCTGAGGATCGTTGTATCCATGAATGAGGAGACAGATTTAAAGCAGCTAAACTCTGCTTGCTGTCACAGTGGGTTAAAGGGCCTTTCCCTCTTGGTGCACCAGAAAAAATGTCTCTGAAGTGCATATGCACTTAAATGGATCAAAGCCAGGCTAGCAGCTCTGGCACCCACCCACTGGAGCTGCAAGACATGTGCAGAGCTGGAGCTGGACTGTTCCTCCTGCAGCAGAGTCTGGGGCAGAAACAAAATCCATCTGGGACCGGCAGCAGCAGCTTGGTCTTGGAAGGATGGACACAGCCATGGCTCACATCTCCCAGAGGCACCATGCTAGTGCTAAACCTGCCTAGCTTGGTCACAGAGCCAACCCAGGGCTGTGAATGAGGTGGGACAGAAAGACCATTCCCAGAGTGGATTGGTGTTCTGGAAGAACAGGAAACAGAGAAATTGCATTTGGTTTCCAAGCCCTCTGATCTGGCAACTCCGCTCCCTTCCTGTAGCCTGCATCGCCTGGACCCTGTTAGAGAGAGGTGATGACAAAAGAGAGATTTGGCTGTTTCTCCATCTGCTCAGATCCCAAGAAGGTGGGGAGGCCACTGGCTGGAGGCAGGCTGTGATGGGCAGTAGGCAGGGGTCAGTCCCACTCAGCACATTCCTGTATCCTGGGCAGGCTGTCCCCTCAGTGCCACTGATGCCTGGGAGCAATTCCCGTGGCTGCCACTCCCACAGTAGGAATTTTGCTGAAGACACTTGCTTGAGGAGAAGGCTGCAGGAAGATGTAAAGGCATAAGACAAGGCAGGAAAGAGCGGTGTGAGATGAAGCATTTGCAGCCGTTAGCAGGAAGGAAGAGGATCAGCACAGCGAAAGCAACAGATGCCCAGGCAGAGATGGCAGCAGCTTCAGAGGGCTGTGGTGGGGCACCTGCAGGGATG